TTTTTTCTTAAGAAATGTTTGATAACTATCTGGACATTATAAAGTATTTGCATGTGAAATTTGAAAATTTTCTGATGCACAGAAGTATTTTTCATCTTAAAATGAAAAATTTCTTTGTTGGATAGTCAACATGCAAAAAAAAAAGGCATGAGAAATACATTGCTTTACAAACCTTAAGACTTAATAAAAAAAAATTGATATTTTCTGTATGAAAGCATTGTAATGTTTACTGATAATCTGCCAAATTTTGTTAACATACGCTTACTAATTTAAAAGTTATAGCATGAAAACTATAACAAGCACAAAATGGTTATGAGGTCAGTCGCAGGGATGGAGCCCATACTGAAAGAGTTAAACTGTATATCAGGCTATTTACTTTTCTCAGCATCATCGTTTCAAATACAAAACTGGAAAATGCATTGTTCTGTTACCACTTACCCATCATAAGCACCACTGACAATTCTTCTATTATCAAATCGAATACATCGAACTAATTCTTCATGGCCCTCTAAAATTCTTAAACAAGCTCCACACTCTATGTCCCAGAGTCTGCCACAAATAAAAAAACAAAAAACAGTCAAACCATTGAAATGAAAACTAATCTAATTTTTGCAGCAAACCATTTAGAACACAGACAAATGCTAAAAATAGGTGATTCCTTACTCCAAACAAGATTTATTTAGACATTTTTCTTGTGATGTTAAACTTACTAAAATTTTCAAGTTTGCATAGTGCATTTATACAAGAATGAATGAAAACAGAGGTCTATTAAATTTTCCATTTAATTTCTTTTAACTGATTAAAACATACAGGTCAATGTTATAAAGTTTACCTAAACAATGTACAAGTAACGATACTAAAATACAGAATAAAACAAATAGAGGATAACTATGCAAATAGGTGGGTCAAACTGCACACGTCATGACATTTTTGTAGTTTCATTCAAAACATAATCATACTTTATTATCAATGTATGTTAAAACAGTTTAATTCACATTTTAATGTAGGTTTTAATTTCTTAATTCAAAACTAAATATTAAAAATTCTCAATATCCACTCTTATGTGTGACTTATTCTCTTCAGATTTTATTACTTCTACAATACAGCTTCTATAGTGCTTAACCAATTAGAAACTCAGAATGCACATACAGGCAAGCTAAGATATAAAATTAGAGCCTCCCACTCTCTTGATTTGCTGAATATCAACATATTTAGCAAACCCACCTGAGAAGCCCTTCCCATCACTTCATGTTTTTGAAGTCACTTATTTACTCACATCTACTTGTCCTAAGCATATGTTTAGAACCAAGAGAAAGATCCAATTCTGAGCCATAAAAATCTTATGATTGTCTGCTTTAATAATCAAAGCCATTGGTTTGCAAGGGTAACTTGATGTGTGTTGACTAAAGCTGATCTTCTGAGCAATAACAGAATTTTTGTAAGCTATTTATAATTTAATCAGAAAGCCTGATAAATTATAGTCATTTTAGGAGATTTTATTCTATTTCTTGATATACTTTATGTTTTCTAAAATGCATATTTAAAAGCTACATGAATTATTTTAGACGACCAACATTTTTTTAAGTAAAACTTTATAGTTTGTTATTTTCTCTACCCGATCTCAAAATGAAATTGGTCAATTCGACTGACCTCATAACCACCAAAAAAATAATTGAAATATATCTAAATTACCCTTTTTTTCTTTCTAGACTGACTTCAATTTGTAACATGAAACTACATTTGTTTATCCAAAGACTAGTTATAATTCAATTTTATTGCCCTTTGAACCGCGTCTAACTACTATCCTCACCATAAAAAGTTGTAAATCACTCTGAGATCGTGCAGGTCACATTATGCTATCAAATTACACTACCCACGAGCTGCTCACATGTGTGCCTCATGAACTATTTTAATTATATTATTATTACTTATTTTACCCAATTTAACCTTAAATAACTTAAAAAGGTCCACATCTTTAGATTTTAGTTACTTTTATAATAATAGATAAAGAATAAATGTGAAAAACAAGGAATAAAGTACTTATTCAATCTACTTTTTTCTTGCTCTTGATTGTCGCTGACAGTTAAGCCTAATTTTTTATAGTACTAATAGTAAAGCACTTAATTTTTATTTAATTAAATAATGCACCAAAGACTATAGACTAATAACATGCAAAAAGTAGACAAATTCCCTTACCTTCTAACTGCTCAGGATATAACGTTATATAATACATCATTTGATATGTGAAAACCTTGACTTTCTATTGGTTATAGGTAATATATAATGAAACGTAAGAGAGAACTATCAACGAATTATGAAAGAGAGTATGTGACAGGTGGGGTCTGATTTTCTATTCAATAGCTCTGTAACCAAACAAAATTGAAGCCTATAAAAATTATGGTTTGTCTGAGCAATAACGATTTTATAGAGTAATTTATGTTTAATTTCGTACTTTTAGAGGGGTGATGGATAAAACATGCTAAGAGAAAATGTGTAGTGTGGATCATACTAGTGGAAATTCAGGATTTTTTTAAATATTGCCTTGTAAAATT